AGGAATGATATAATCTGTTTAGAGTTAGCCTAACAAAAGAGGAGTTAAAGCTCAAATGAAAGATACTAAATTTCTTTAAGTTTATTTTAGAATACCTTTGTTAAAGATTTATACCCTGTATTGGTTCTGGGAAGTGGGGGTGGGGGAGGTTGGGGGATGGCGGGGTTCGGGTGGGGAGGGGGGGGAGGTAAACATTTGTAAAAGTTTTTTTTTCCTAAAATTTTCAATAAAAAAAAAAGTGAACCCAACTCTTAAATATTTCCCGTGGTTGAGCATAATTTAAAAAGTAAGAGATTCCCTGCCCCCAAGGATCACAGATCGCATTGCTGGGTAATTGGCTGGGTCTTCAGGCACTCCCCTCCTTTCTTGCTCAGCACTTGTTGAGATGACCTTGGCTCTACCAGCCTCTCTGCCTGTGTTGTGTCTAGCACATCGTAGAATAGCATTCCAAATCTCCTCTCTTCCCCAACTCTGTGGCAGCTGAGAAAGGAAAACAAAAATGCCTCGGCCAGAGTCCTTTTGAAAGTTGGCACCCTGTTTTAGTATGCAAACTGATTTGTTTTTTTTTAAATGAATGCTCTAAAGGTCTGCAGTGAAAATGACTCCCAGCGAGTGTCCCTAAATCTCTTAAGATTTAGTCCAGCCTCTAGTCCAATTCAAAAGGGGAGACATCTGACTGGCTGGAGGCAAGGAAGCCTCTATAAACCACCAGCTTACCTGGAGATCGAATATATCGTCTGGACGCCCTCTCTCTGCTGGAAGACCTTCGGAACGTCGAAATGGGGTTATAAGGTCGCCACGGAGACCTTGACCTGTGTCTGAAATTAGGCTGCGGCCGTGGACTTCGACTCCTTTGCCTGATTGACCTGTGCCTGGGACTCCTGGATCGGGACCGAGTCCGTCGTCTGGCATGCCCAGAACTGGAGCGTCTCGAACGCCTGGGACTAATACTGGCAGAACGCCGCCTGGGTGTGCTGTCCTCATTTCTGTCGCCCTCTCGCCTGTGGACAAAGAAAGATATGCACCACCTGATGGTTCTGGTTTAACCTGAAGCTACCCTAATACAGGGAGTTCTCACTTAACACCTATCCATTCAACGACCACTTTAAATTATGTCGGTGTTGAATAACAGAGGGACCTTGGAGGTCTTCTAGTCCAACCCTCTGCTCAGGCAGGAAACCCTATAACCGTATGGTGAACCTTTTTGGCTCCCATGCCAAAAGCGGGGGAAGTGTGGGGGGGGTCGCGCGCAGGCATGTCACACCCATAATTCTATGTGTGCCCCCTCCCCTGCTTTTGGTGCAGTTTTTTTGCCCTCCCCAGGCTCCAGAGGCTTTCTAGGAGCCTGGGGAGGGCGGAAACCCTAACCCTGTGAGTGGACGGCAAATGTAAATTTTCCGAACAAACAAACAAACACTATCACATCCCAAGAAAACTTCACGTAAGCTACCTTTTTGCTGATGAATGGGATTCTGGATTCCAGTCAGGATATCTATTTCAAAAAAAAAAACCACCAAAAAACTATTAATACAAGTATCCTGAAAGCTTCTACATTGTTTTCAAAATGTATTACCTTGTCCCCATTTCCCCTCTTTGCCTAGCTGTGTTTCCTACAATGTTCTCCCTGCATGCATGCATGCTGAGCTTCAGAAAGCTGCAACCGCTATCCTAACTATTTACCCAGATCCTATACAACTGTTCAATGCTAGGTTCAGAATTTGAACTCATTCTTATTTACTGGTCCGACAGTTACAGGTCAGTATTTTGGCAAAACCCATACATCCACATTTTGCAAGGTTTGATTTAACTTCACAATACTTTTCTACTGACATAAGCATCTGGCCTGTCCGTGAACCCCCGGCTGATTTACATGTTGGCTACACTTAGTATGTGAAAATCCTGTTTTGATTTCTCCCATCTTTCTATGGCCATGAATTATCCCAAACGCTGCAGAGCAGGGGTGTCCAACCTTGGCAACTTTAAGACTTGTGGACTTCAACTCCCAGCTCTGCTGGCTGAGGAACTCTGGGAGTTGAAATCCACAAGTCTTAAAGTTGCCAAGGCTGGAAGCCCCACTACAGAGGAATCTTCCTTGCTTGGGGTCATAATGTCCCAATGATCACGTGGCACAACTGCCCAAAGAATGAAACAAGCCAGATAATGCTGCAAATGTTCCGATGGATTTCATTCAAAAATAGAGCAGGAGCAATGATATAAAAGCTTCACTATATAAATTATAGTTTGCTTAATTCACGTATTAACTGAAGTGTTCGTGTTAAAAAAGATGGGGACCCAGGGGACCCACAATTTAGAGAAACCAAATAAAAGCTCTTACTGTTGGCGTAGCTGGCGGCAGCTTTCAAGGTGTGTGGAAGAATTCTGATGCTGAAGCCAATCCTATATAGAGAACAAGCAGCCAGGAGTCAGGATTAAACGATGGACTGGGGAAATCGCCAATACCTTTACACCCCACCTTTGTTCCAAGAAGATACAATGAATAGATCTGTTCACCCCCCTCCACCAATTATCTTCAAAGGAACCCTGCGACTCATGCTCAGTAGTTTCTCCAAGATTCAGGAATTCTCATTTCTTCTGAGAAGGTGGGGAGGCAAAGATACCCATGTTGGAAAACCCATCCTATCCGCCTTGGCATTCCCTGCTGGTTTCAGCCTGCCAAGCATACCACAACTCAACCACATGCTGCAGAGGAAAGAGCCCTGGTGGTTTGACAAATGCATAACCTGCAATTTTATGCAGGCTGAAAAGAAATCAATGTATTAATAGAAACGCTGCAATTGCCAGAGGGAGGGGGGAAGAGAGGAGAGGGGGAGGGAGAACAGGCACTGCTGTCCTCAGGATGAATTCTGGTCCTCTGGATAGCAGCAGCAATGCCTGGGGCTTCACGGCTGGAACAGAACTACAGGATGACTGGAAAAGTGGGGAAAATGTGATTATTTCGAACAAACCGATGTCTTTTGGGCTACTAGGAGCACCCTATCTTGATCTGTGAAGCGCCCAGGAAACATTAGTTTCCAAGTTCCATCCTGACTATAATCAATTATTATCAATTCATCCAAATCACAAGATTTTGTGTCACAAACCTCCAGACAAAGTCCTCCTTTCTGATTTCCCCAGAACTATGGCATTTCCTTTCTGGGATCACATCCCAGAAAGGACATCCCATTTCAAGTGGCATCTCCTACCCAAATAACGTTTATTATGAGCATCATTTCTTTAAAAAAAACAAAGCCTCAAAAACATGCTTTGCAGGCTACCTCTTTTAAATAAACGAGACATATGATGCCCTCTTAAGATAAGCAGCAGCTTCTACCTGAATGTGGGAGAGCCAAAATAAAACCAGTAAATTCATATTGCCATTTTGGCACAGAGACCAAACAAAACATGTAGAAAGGAACTCGGGCTCTACTAGCTGTGTTTAAGACCAACAAGAATAACAAGCCACTTTCACACTCAAAGCTGACATATTCCCAACTCAATGAGCTCCAAAGAAACCTACATTAGACTTGCACCTGGTTTATTCCCAAAGATTTTGAAAGCTTTGTACTTTTGGATTAGCAGTGGGGTCTGTTTTGTAAAATCCATGCTTGTGGAAGAATTGAGCACTAACCCTGAACCTCACTGACAAATGTAAGCACATTATTAAGCCACTAAACCCAGTCGATTTACTTCAGATTATCTGAGCCCAGCCCGACACTATAAAATACATTGTACTTCAATGTATGTAGAGTTTAGGATTTGAATATCTGATAACATTTAACATGTTAAGAGTGCATCTGGCACTCTGGCTGATGAAAACGACCATCCTAGGCTGCCAAGATACTCAACTTTATATGCTGCATGTATGTACAAATTAAAGACAAAATAAGAACTAGTGACTATGTCTATCAAATGTATTTTAAGAATTATTTGACTCATCCTTCCAAGGTCAGTAAAACAAGGACCCAGATTGTTGGGGGGACAAGATGCTGACTCTGTAAACTGCTTAGAGGAGGCTGTAAAGCACCGTAAAACGGTATGTAAGTCTGGGTGCTTTGGCTATTATTAAGAGGTTGAAAACACAAATTTAGAAAGAAAAACTAGAACTGAGCTTGGATTTGTCCTGTTTTGTCTAAAGAAACGGCACTATTACATTCTATTTTATTATGGTCATGTGCCAAAAATACATTCTCTTTAGTTCCTGTTTTATCCACCCCTTGAACTGCCAAGCAATGAAAAATATTGAGCCTTAATAGTGTTTTTTTTTTTTTAATGTAGCTATGCCGGAGGGCCTTGTGGAATGATATTTTACTATTATGTGTTAAGATTTATAGCTAAATGTTAAAAACTTTAACCCCAACTGCCATTTTCCTAAGCTACAGAGGTCCATGTGTCTCAACCCTCCTTCTTTTACATATCCTCCAGCTTTTTTATTCTTTTTCAATGGCGTGGGATTTCTGGAACCCTACACAGTGTTTGGTATGTGCACCTACCACAGATTTCCACACCAGGATTGTTGGGCACATTGAAAATAATTTGCTTAACGAAGAACCAACACAGTAAGCAGACAAACATAGGAAGATAACATTGGGATCAGTGAGTGTGTCACTGCTGTACTAAAAAGTCTCCGAGATTGGTACAGAACATTTTAGAAGCGTATGCAAAATTACTGAAATCAGAAAATAGACAGCTCAAGACCCGCCAAATCTGAACAGATTCCAGGTGTGACCAAGATGCTCAGGTTTTAATCTGGTGGAGTAAAACTTCAAATTGCTAAAACAAGTGAGCTCTGAGTCATTCTCCAGACAATCTAAAATGTGTTAGGATTTCAGCTGCCATCCTCTCAAATCAAGATCTCCAAGTTTATGCTCTTTAAATAGAAGTCTAGGCATTAGCCTGGGAAGTAGCATTTTGTATTTAAACCTTGTATGGCTTAAATGGGGTAGTGTGCTGAATAAGACAAGGGGGGGGGGAGTATGCAATCCAACAGTTTGGACAAAGCTAGTTAAATATCTAACTATTGCTGCCGCTCTTCTTTAGGAACAGACAGTAATTGAAAGACATTAGAATCAGATACTCCNTTGAGCCGGTGAGATTTGAACCGCTGAACTGCAGATAACAGTCAGCTGAAGTGGCCTGCAGTACTGCACCCTAACCACTGCGCCACCTCGACTCTCATCTTTATCTCTTCTTTTAAATTATCTTCAAAGTTAAACCAAACTGCCATTTCACATTTAATCTCTTGGTCTATTTTGCTGTAAGCAACATACATCATCACAGTCGATTTTTACATGAAGAATATTTAACTTAATTAATTGTCTACAATTAATAATGTTGGTATAATTACCTTACATCTTAATTAACTATCCGCCATTAATAATATTAATACAATTCCCTTTAATCTACTAGTATGTATCTTATTTCCCTAGCTCCTCCTCTTTAACCATTTTCTCTTGGTCTTTCAAAGATTCCACTTCTTATTAATTTTCTTCTTTTAATCCATTCTTAGCTTCTTTTTGCACTTTTTTTCTTTTTATAATTATTGTATCTTTTCTTCTGAACCCTTTTTCTCTCTTTTAATTTTATTGTTCAAGTAGTTTCCCCCAGGGTGTTTCCTAGTCTCTTCCCAGTATTTCCCCCTTTGCTGTTTGATTGGTTCTTTTGGGGGGAGGGGGGGACACTCCCTTGTCTACCCTTTTTGTGCCACTGTAATTCCCAGTGAAATTATCTGGGGTTTTTTTTAACTTTCAGTTCCTTTTTCTTCTTATTATTTTCTTGTTATTCATTTATGCTCTCTTTTACCCCCTCCTCTCCTGTTTCCTGATCTGTGTGCTCCAGCCGGATTTCTGACTTTTTATTGCCTTTTAAAGTTTCACACACATTTTTAAAAATCTCAAATAATTCATCATACATCCAAGGCTCCATATTGCCAATTTAACAAATGTAACACATTTTTAAGACTTTGGGGTTATATAACATTTAATTAGAATTTAAAGTCCATACAGTCCTTTTTAAAAAATTTGTTTCCAATTCTAATGTCCAATTCTAATATTAGTCCAATCCAAGTTGAAAATTTATTATCTTCCACGGACAGAAAATCGACCTGAGCAATGTAGAAAAACAAACACTCCTTAGCAATTCTCACAGTTCCAAATTATCTTTTCCGGTACAAGTTTCACAGCTGCACTTCCCTTTTATTTTTCACAAAGTATTGTAGTACTCTCTTCCTACTTGTGAGATGGCTCTCTCAAATCCGCAATACACTGAAACCAACTGATTGTCAAAACTGTCAAAAACACTTTAGATCCACATAAAAAGAAAAAAAAAATTCCCTGGATTCTTTCCTTTTATTATTTTTAGTTTCTCCAAATCCAATTATAAAAGCGAGAATCTTCTTGGGCTTCAGTATTTTAGCCTCCGCTTTATCCTTCTTCCTCCATGGTATTTCCAAAAGGCCACCAATTCAGCTCCAGGACTCTTTTAAAGTCCAAATTCAAAGTTTTCTTTTACTGTGAGTTGGCCAATCACTCACCCGGTTCCAGCACTCCGTTCCAACAATGCTCCTACTCAAAAACTTAGTCCGGTTACACCAGCTTCAGAGCGGTCACTTGGAAATGGCTGCCGCCCCCATTGCCAGTCCGAAGAATTTTCTCTGACCTACCGAGGAACTTTACGGTTCCTCTTGGTCGTCCGAGATGCCTCCCCTTCTTTCCCGTCCCTACAGAATGGTTCTTCTGAAGACCACCCAACCTCGGTTTGTCCGGCTGAATTTTTGCGGAGCTCGTCGGAGCCCACTATTTTTCCAGCAGGCCTCGCCATGATGCTTCCGGTTTCTCCCTACTCTCTGAGAAGGGGTCATTGTGAAGGATCTGGAACATGCCCAATTTGGAAAAAAATGTGTGGGAAGGGAGGATGTAAGGATACAGACAGTCCCACACATAACATGGCCCAGGGGTGTTCAACCAAGGCAAGACCCATGGACTTCAACCCCCAGAATTCCCCAGCCAGAGCATAACCAGCAGTGTGGACAGCAGCCTACTGGGAGCCACTGCAGCCCATGAACTATGGGGGGGGGGGGGAAATACCCACACCCCTGCCTTTGTGGACTCCCATGTAGCTTCTAAGTGATCTTCAAGAGAAGCTCTGCGTGCAGCTTACCAATGAAGGAGAGTATTTGTAACTCAGCACTGAAATGAGGGGCCCTTGGTGCTCTCTCAGCTTGGTTGTTTTCTTGCAGACGTTTCATGACCCAACCAGGGAATGTCATCAGTGCCACTGATGAATGATGAAGCTACTGAGGAAGAATACACCGATGATGTTCCCTGGTTGGGTCATGAAACGTCTGCAAGAAGCAACCAAATTCAAGAAGAACCCACATTCAGCTTATTGCAGTAAGCCAAGCAAGAGGTGTATAAGGCAAGAGTTAACTCCGTTTCCTCCTTGGCCCAGGCCCAAATAGTTGAGTAAATCTTGAGGGATTCCAACTTGTTTGTCTACTTCCATTTACTGCTATGGTTCCGAGTCATGATCCCAACCAAGTCAGAACTCTGAGACCGGAACTCTTCTCAAAGATTCTCTTTATTGGGTATAATATCATATCAGAACCTTCAAATGTGAACCCAACTCGATCAAACCGGTTTTATACAAGGGAGACAAATGAGAAGTAATGTAAGACAAATTGTTAATATACTGGAATACTTGGGAAAGAATAATCAAATCCCCGCAGTGCTTATATTTCTAGATGCTGAGAAAGCCTTTGATTGAGTGAATTGACAATTTTTAATGAAAACAATGCAAAAATGCAAATAGGAGAGTATTTTCTACAATCAA